ATACAATAGCCACTAGTCACACAAGGCTATTGGGTACATATATGGTTGACTGAATTTTTATTTTTAATTAATTTAAATTTAAATAGCCACATTGACTATTGACTATCTTATTGGACACTGCAGCTCTTGAGTTTTTCAAAATATGTATAAGTGCGTGTGTGTGTGTATGTATAAACCTGTTGCCGTCGAGTCAATTCCCATATGGTGACCCTATAGGACAGAGTAGAACTGCCCCACAGGGTTTCCAAGGAGCGGCTGGTGGATTCGAACTGCCGACGTTTTGGTTAGCAGCCATAGCTCTTAACCACTGTGCCACCAGGGGCCTCCTCTCTATATATGTATATGTGTGTATACTGTTCTGTAACTGACTTTTTTTACTTAATGTATAATGAACATTATACATTAAGTGCAACCAGAATAGTCCTTAGAAGGAAGGATGGCGAGACTATGTCTTACATACTTTGGACATGTTATCAGGAGGGATCAGTCCCTGGAGAAGGACCTCATGCTTGGTAAAGTACAGGGTCAGCAAAAAAGAAGAAGACCCTCAACGAGATGGATTGACACAGTGGCTGCAACAACGGGCTGAAGCATAACAATGATTGTGAGCATGACGCAGGACAGGGCAGTGTTTTGTTCTGTGGTGCATAGGGTCACTGTGAGTCAGAACCAACTTGACAACAACAACAACGATAATGAACATTTTCCAGATCAGTTTAGTTAGTATTACCTCATTCTTTTCAGTGACTATATAATATTCCACTGTGTGAATTTACTGTAGTCCTCTGTTGATGGGCAATTGAGTTGTTCCCAATATTTCACTAATGTGGACATTTCTGTACCAAATACCCTTGAACATATGTCTTTATATGTGTGGATATTCTTAGAAGTGGGTTTTCTGAATCAAAAAGTATGAATATTTCACATTTTAATAGATGCAGTCAAATTACCCTCCAAATAGATTGTACTAGTTTACATTCCCAACAACAGTGCCTGTTTCTCCACATCCTTGCCAGCAATGATTATCATCAGTCTTCTAATCTCTACCAGTATTATAGGTGATAAATTTCATATCATGTTTTAATTTTCATTTCTTTATTTGTGAAATTGAGCATTTTTTCCTGTCCATCAGTGACTTTTCATTCCTGGAACCGTAAGTAAAAGTGTAGTTGCTACTGTCAGGCCTCTCACACCACCTCATGTGTCTGCTTAACTTCTCACCTTTTTGCCAGAACTCTCTAACTTCTGTCTTACCTGAAGCCTGGCTATCCTAGGAATATCATTTCTCTTGCATCCTCTACTATAAAGGTTACTCATTCTCCCCCACCATGAATGACAGATCCCAGGACAGGTCTGATATTCTCCTTGCTCCTTATGAAAATCTTTTCTCTCTTCAGATCTTTTCAGTTAGCTATACCACCCAGTACCCATCTTAGTTATTCTTCTTCCTCCATTAAGGACTTTGAGAATGGCCTTACCACCTTCCTCTATATCCTGATTCTTTCCCCTCATCCCAGGAGATTTGAATGTCCATGTACAACCCATCTAACTCTTTACACTGATACTTCTTTGAGCTTTTACACTCCTGCTCTCTCACACCTTTACTTCAACTAGCCTAGTTCTTCTATCTCCTATAGACCTCTACACTTTTAACTCCTCTTTTTATACCTTCTTCCATCTTCTTCCCTATCCAGCCAAGACCTGATGGTATGGCACCTCATCCATTCCACCTTGCACCTTATCCTTCCACTCTATATGCCCTGCTGTTGTTGTGTGCTGTCGAGTTAATTCTGACTCGTAGTAATGCCACATGACAGAGTAGAACTGCCCCATAGGGTTTTCTAGGCTGTAAATATTTCAAGAGCAGATCGCCAGATCTTTTCTTCTGCGGAGCAGCTGGTGGGTTCGAAACACCGACCTTTCGGTTAGCAGCCAAACGCTTAACCATTGCATCACCAGAGCTCCTTTCTGTCCTTCTAACCCCGGTCATTCTCTGCTTTCTGTGCTCTTTCCTGAGTACTAAACATTGCTACAAATAAATAAATCCCATAGCTGTGCTGATTGGTACTATAATAGGTTTCTGGTCTATAATCTTAGCCGTAGTCTTAGGGCCACTTAGCAGTCATTTTATATGCCCCTGGTTGGGTCCCACTCTTGTTCTACCAAGCAGTTATTCCTAATGTATACCTTGCTTTCAAGCTAATAATACCACTGTTACTCCCCTCTATATATACATATTTAAACATGTCTCCTACTTCATGGAAAAATCAAGATAATCCCTTGTCTTCTCACTACTGTCTTTACCAACTTTTTGTGTCTTCTTTGCTGTCTCAGAGGAAATGGTATCCCATCTTCTGTGTAAGTTTAATCTCTTTATCTGTGTTCTAAATCGCATCGCCTCCTACTTCATCAAGGTATTGACTATCAGTTAATCCCTCTTTCTCCTACATTTTCAACCTATTCCTTTCCACTGGCTTCTTCCCTCAGAAATATGCTGAAATATGTTTTTATCAAAGAAAAAGAACTTTTCTTATTCTCTTCTAGTTATTGCCCTCTCTCCTCTTGGTCAGAGCTGTCTTGAAAGTAGTTGGCCTTCCCTATTAGCATTTTTTCACTTTCATTCACTCTTCAGCTCACTGTGATCCGATTTCCATACCATTATTCATCTACTGGGGGACATTGGTGGTTCAGTGGTAGAGTTCCTGCCTTTCATGCAGGAGACCTGGGTCAAATTCCTGGCCAATGCACCACACGCACAGCAACTACTCATCTGTCAGTGGAGGCTTGTATGTTGTTACGATGCTGAACAGGTTTCAATGGAGCTTCCTAACTAAAGACAAACTAGAAAGAAAGGCCTGATGATCTACTTCTGAAAATTAGCCAGTGAAAACTGAATCACAATAGTCTGATCCACAGCCTATCATGGGGATAGCAGGACTGGGCAGCATTTCACTCCATTGGGCATGGGGTCACTATGAGTCAGGGGCCTAATAGACAGCAGCTAACAACAACAACAGTCATCTACTACTGCTCTTGCTGAGGTCACTAGTGACCTCTGACTTGTCCAATCTAAAGGTGACTTTTTAATCTTCATTCTATTTTGACCTTTCTGCAACATTTGGCACTGTTGACTCCTTTCTCCTTAAACCTTTTTTATAGTCCTGGTTTTAATCCAACTACTCTCCTCTGGTTCTCTTTCTACCTTTCAGGCCATTTCTTCACAGACTGACTCCTGTACTAGCCCTCCTTCCTCTACTTGCCCTTTAAAAGTCAATGTTTTTTTAAGGACTTCTCTTTTCTCACTTTTGGTCTCTGCCTGTATAATATCAGCCATGCACACAATTTTCACTACCATCTCTATTCATATAGTAGCCAGATCTACACTCTGGCCCACATACCTCCCTCTCCTGAACTCCAGACACACATATCCAGTTGCCCACTGGACTCTCCATTGGATGTCCCTCAGCTTCCTCAGACTGACCATGGCCAAAAGTGAGTCTTCTTCCCTACCCTTACTACCACCTAAAATTTGCTTCTTATCCCATGTTCACTATTCAGACTAATGGTACTGCCACCTACTTAGTTACCTAAACCACACATTGACTCTTCCTTCTCCTTCATCCAGTATCCATTCTCTCACTTGTCCTGTTAAATTTTCATACTTAACATCCCTCTTCTCCTTTTTAGCCCCACTGCTAGTACTGTAGTTCAGGCCCTCATTGCCTTTCACAATTTCAGTAGCTCCCTGACTGGTCTTCCTATATGCAATCTCATTTCCTTCCAATCCATTCTCCTGACTGCCACCACAGTGACCTTTCAAAAATGCACATCTGATTAGAGCACTCGTCTGCTTTTAACACCTCAGTGGCTCCCATCACTACCAGATAAAATGCACACTTCTTGGTTTGACCCTTGCCCTCCTGGCTAGCTTTGTCTCTCCTCTCTCACTAGCCCCAACCATTACCAAGCTACTTAAAGAGTTCCTCACACGTGCCATTCCTCTTTGCCTTTGTACATACTGTCATGTTGTTACCTCTTCCTGGGATGTTTTTTACTGCTGATCCATCTGGCAAATGCTTGCTCATCTGTCAAGACCCATCTTAGTTGACTCCTCCTCTTTGGTTATCTTTTTTGCCTTTGTTGTACCAGGTATGAACTTTTATTGTTTTATTTGTCATTGGTTTGAAATCACTCCAATGTTTGTCTCCCTCACATCTCCTGTGCCTTGCACAGTGCTTCTTGCATAGTCATTCAATAATTATTGGCTAGATGGGTGGATGAATGAATGAGTGAAGAAATTAATTGATGTCCTTCTCCTTCCTCACCTGAGGACGTCTTACTCTTTCTGCAAAAGAATATAGTTACTAAACATTACTCTATTGCAACAGTTTTTCCACTGTATTGTAATTATTTATTTACCTTTGGTCACCTTGACTAGTTAATGAGCTCCTTGAAGGCAGAAACTGAGTCTCATCTTTGTATTACTAATACCTAGCACATACCAAGTACATAGGGGTACACAATTAAGTGTTAGAATGCGTAATTGAATGACCAATATCCACCATTGCCAAAATTGCCAAGGCTAAGCAACTACCCAGATCTCCACATCATTCTGATTGTGCAGTAACTGATCTAAGACAGGTAAATCCCTCAATTTTCAGTTGGATGTATGTATGTTAGTAAGACTAAATGGCTAAAGACTCCAGAGGAAATAGTTGTCAGAACTGGGAGTGGAATGCAGAACTGTCCTATCTTGTTTTTTATCATAAATTCTTCCCCTGCCCAGTCTTCTCTCTGAGAATTAATCCTGTCTTCTTCAGAATTTTTGTGAATTTAGAGCTCCCCTGCATCATGTGTTTGCTTTTATTTTGTTTTTCTATTCTTTTGCTAAGCTCTCTTTCTTCTGTTGCACTCTTTTATTTTCTTTTTCACTCCTCATAGAGGATGCCAATATTAGAAGAAATTAATATAACCCAGTAAGACCAAGTTCTCTGTGATGTAGGATGTTATTTGGCAACCTATTTACTAAACCAGCATGCTATGTGAAGGTTGCTTGTGCTGCTTTTTGTCTCTTGTCTTCACAGGCAATGAAAGTAGAAAAGGCCAATGTCTTAGTCCATTGTTCTGATGGGTGGGATGGCACAGCACAAGTCTGCTCTATGGCCAGCATCCTCCTAGATCCATTTTATAGAACTTTCAAAGGACTCATGATAAGAGAGCAAGAGATTGTTATTTTATATACGTATATACTAGTGACAGATTGTGAGTAAATCTTAAAGAACTCTCAACTAATTTGTTTTCCACAGGAAGGAACTCTAAATCTACAAAATAGCTATTTTTTAATTTAGCCTCCTTCCATTATACTAGGCATATACAGTCTATATATTTTCTATTGCACATTCAGCATAATTTCTTACTTATCACAAGGTGAGTTGTATATAGTAGGCGGCTGTAAGTTGTATATAAAAGGCTCAAAAAGTTTAAAAAGATGAATGGGTGACTGGTTAAATAGGCTGTCTAATGGACTTATCATCCTTAACATGTCAGTTACTTGAATTTCATTTATACTCATGATTGTTTTCTGATGCTGAATCCAAGGCTTCTTGGTTAATCTTTCTAAGAAACAGAACTCACAACAGGGGTTTATCCTCATTTTTTTGGAAATAACTTAAAAAAAATAGTTGAAAATGGTTTTGTTCTTGGTACAAATGAATGAATATTACCTTTAGGGTCCTGTTTTTTCAAAAGTTGAATTTAATATCGTTCTTATCAGGATTGCATTTAATTATGGCTTAAATGACTTGTCATACATAGTATAAAAGCCAAAAGAAATGTGACACTGGATGTATATCCAGAATAATTTCTCCTGAGAGCATCTGTAAAAACGGCACGGGGGCAGCAATGTCTGACCGCCTCTAACTTTACAAAGGAGAAAAAGACCCAAGATCACAACCCAAGGCTGATTCCTATGAGGCGGGGGCCAGACATGCCTCCTCCTCCGCCATCTTTACCAATTCTGACACCAACCATCCCTCCCATGACACCAATTCTGACACCAACTATCCCTCCCACGACAGTCTCAACTTCTCTGCTGGGTTGAATAATTCATTGCAATGGCTACACAGAGCTCACAGACCATACTCACCATTATGAGGTTTATTACAGAAGTAACAGATTACAATTCAGGCTTGGACACTCAAGGATACAGTTCTTCTGTCAGGACAGCCTCTTCCCAGCCTTGCTTCCAGGCACACCTCTCCCTGGCCCTCATTCTCTGCCCAAAGGCACTCAGCTTTCTTGCTTCATGGGCCAGGAAGCCCACCACACCATCTCCTGCAGGTCTCTCCTTCCTGGTGATGGTAGGATCTTCTGTTTTCCACTTCTGGGGTTGCTCATTTCAAGCCCATCGGGATGGCAAAACTAACTAATCCCTCTGTTGGATCACAATTACCCTATCACACAGTCCTGCGCAATTACTTGGGTGGGAGTTACAAGACCATGTCTAGAAAGGCCACACACAAAAGTGATCTATCACATTGCAGGCCACCCCCTGGCTTTTCTATCCCTGGTTCTTTCATATTTGGAGGAAAACTTCCCCCTCTCAATCATTTTACCAGTCCAAAACAGTCATCAACCATTAGTCCTTCTATAGGGCAAAGAGTCCGCAGGGTGTGGTTACTAAGATACCAGCCTTTCAGATCTGCTGTGGGTTTCTGTCTGATCTGGTCACATTCTCCAAAAGTTTATCTCAGCTTCATCCTTTCTGGTGTCTGATAAAATTTAACTGAGAGAAAATTATTCCCTGTCTCTGCATAGCAAAACTTTTAAGGGACTTTTTTTCAGCCACTGTACTTGAGTCCAGCGATGCCTCCCCTTTAGTCCACTCTTTCACACTTACAGCTTCTACAATTAGTTTTTATAATCACAATTAACCCTGTTAATAATCAACACTCACAACTGAATCATGTAATCCTATCAGCATCTCCTCCCACCCTCTCTTCCCCAGACCTGTCATAAAAAGAGGAATGTATTCGGTGGGGATCCTCCCTTGTCCCCCTCATTTTGTGTAAGCACACTCTTGAAAGCGTGTAAGCCAGCCACTTCATGCCTTTATCTGTTCCCTCCCACCCCCATTTTAGATAGCCAATGTTTAAATTGCCCATCCCTATCAAACCAGTACTGAGGAGAAAAGCATGTTCCTTGGTCTTGAAGAATCTTCTGTGCGGATAGAACTTTGAGCATCTACATCCATAAGCAAAGTCCAGTCCAGAGCAAGCCATCGAATTGCAGCAGTCTGTACCAGCTCATAGTATCAAACATCTTTGTCTTCATTCAGTCGAGTTCTGGTCATAGCCACCCAAGCTAGGTCACAATGGGTAGCAGCCTCAGGCTGGAGAGTTCACACATACCTCCAGGCACTTCAGACAGCCCCTTCATACACTCTCATCCCTAGTCCTCTTAGGCTAGGTCAGCGGGTTCCACGCGTAAACTTCAGGAGTCCAACAACTTTTACTTCTGACCAGCCAGCCCTTTCCTCTGTCTCTCATTCCTAGCCCCCATGGGCTAGGTCATGGGTGCCAGTGGAACATGTCCAGACTCAGCCTGTCCCTTTATTGCTGCCCTTCCCCTACTTCCACTCACTGAGAGGACCCACGTAGTCACCACAAGTGAGCAGACCAAGCTGTCTACTCACCGGCTCCCTTTAACTTTCAGTCCTGGAAGGTGGTTTCTTCTGATGAGCACTGACTTCCTGCCTAGATGCATCCACAGCAAGCACTTGCTAGAAATTCAAAAAGCAAAACAGTCACTTTTTTTTCTTTCTCTGCAAGTCCAGCCTTCAAATGCAAATCTCCTGTTCTCTCAGCAATTCTGGATGGTTCTGTATGTCTTTACAAATGCAAATCTTGGTGGAGCTCAAGTTTTCAACCTAAGCCCCCACTCTATACACAGGGCTACTGCATTCAAACCAAGAGCCTGTGTTTCCCTTGGGCAAATCCTAGTTCCCCTTTTAACATATCCAATCAAGTATTGTCTGAAGGTAGAGTTGGATGCTCTCTGTAATCTGTAATACCCAATATTCATTTCTATCATACATTTAGGTCTGCTTTACAAACTAAGAGAAACATTCACTATCCATAGTACACTTGATTAAACACACAATCCTAAACACATAACCCTTTTTAAAACATTCCAGTTACATCTTCTCTTCTCCACCCATAACTATCTTCCCATTCATATGCATATGGCCTTGGGCCTCTGGCTGGATGGAACCAGAAGACCCTGGCCCCCTATCAATGATTCTGCTTAGCTGGCCTGGCTTTGGTCCCAGGATGCTCCAGAAGCAGCTTTTCAGCCATTACAGGTAACAACAGCCAAAGTAACCATCTAAGAATCAAAAGTTTCACTTCCCAAGCCCCTTTGTTTTTTCTGTTACAAAGTCTGATGCTTCCATGAGTCTGGAGCCATTGCAAAGAATTCCACTTTTGACACCAACTGTAAAAATGACGTGGGGGCAATGTTTGATTGCCTGTAAGCTCACAAAGGGGAAGGAGACCCAAGATCCACAGCCCAAGGCTGATTCCTATGAGGCAAGGGTCAGACATGCCTCCTCCTCCACCATCTTTACCAATTCTGACACCAACCATCCCTCCCACGACACTCTCTACTTCTCTGCTGGGTTGGATAATTCATTGCAATGACCACACAGAACTCACAAACCATACTCACGATTATGGGGTTTATTAGGGAAGTAATAGGTTACAATTCAGGCTCCGGGACACTCAAGGTTACAGTTCTTCCATCAGGACAGCCTCTTCCCAGCTGTGCCCCCAAGCTTTCTCAGTCCATGGGCCGGGAAGCCCACTGTCCCATCTCCTGCAGGTCTCTCCTGCGAGTCTCTCCTGCCGGTCTCTCCTTCCTGGTGGTGGTAGGCTCTTCTCTTTCCTGCCTCTGGGTCACTCATTTCAATCCCAGTGGGATGGCAAAACTGACCAATCCCTTTGGTGGGCCAAAATTACCCTATCACACAGTCTCGCCCAATGACTTGAGTGGGAGGTACAAGAAAGGTCACATACATTTCACACACAAAAGTGATCTATCACACCACAGCATCTGAAATTTGAAGGTGCCTGATGAAGCTTATAAATGAAATCCAAATAACATATTTAGTTATAATTTGAGAAATTATTTTATGATCAGTACAACTCAAACTTGTACACAGTCCTTTTCAGCAAAGTGTTTTGATATTCTTGTATGTTTGGTTAATTCATTTTGATTTTCCTAATGTAAACTTTTATTTTTGTATAAAAATGAAGGTCCTGATAGAGAAAGAATGGATATCCATGGGCCACAAATTCTCCCAAAGGTAAAAATACCTTCATTTTGGAGGAGGGGGCTGAAGAGAACTAATTTTAGTAAGATTTACCAAAACTCCAGTAAGCTCTTGTATAAGCAGGAAACAAAATGTTGAACATGGCTTAAATGTCTTTTCATAAAGAAACAAGTATTGCAGACACTATGCTAGGGCACTAGGGCTATAGAGGTGACTAGAATATTACCTCTGCCTTCAAGGAGTGCAAATGGTTCTACCAAATTGTTAAATATTTGAGGGAAGAACAAGACATCATGGACAACAAAGGGAAAAGTGCTTAAATCTGCTTGAAAAGGTCATGGTGGCCTTCCAGGAATAGACAGCATTTAAGGATGAATTTTTTTGGGATGAGTAGGAGTTTCCTAGGCAGAACAGTGGGATTAGGAGTGCATTCCAGGCAGAGGGTTAGTATCTAAAGCAATGCACCTTGTAATCTTTTGTAAGAAAAAAAGGCAACTGCAGATTTCCATTCTTTAGAAAGGGGTAGGATCAAGGGCTTATATTTATCTAGTTTTTGCTATAAGCCAAACAATCTCACTAAGGATTTACCTAATGTTATCATAACCGGTGTAATCAGTCATCTGAATTAATTAACAAATATTTATTGAATACCTAACAATGTGCTGTATACTGTATCAGATACTGAGCTGGTGTCAAAGGCAAGTAAAATGAGAGTTTTACCCTGTGTATCCATTTAATTTCATTTAATTGCAACTTTCTAGTCATTTGAGACCATCAATTCATTATTCCTTCATCAGCAAACACTGGACCAGGAAATATGCCAGGTATTGAGGAGACTGAGTTGAATGAGTTATGGTCCTTGTCTCTTCTTTTAAAGAAAAGAAAATCAGTGATAAC